TCGCCAACATTACCTACTTCCTGGTGAGTTAAGCATGTGAAGGATTGACCAGGAATCCACCATCTCCCAAAATTCACCATTTTTATGGGTGGTAGAACTGTAGAGCCCATCAAAATACGGGCTGGAGTCCTAAGGTGGTACCCCAAGTCACCATGGGTTTCAATACTGAAACGGCCATCCATGACATGGATGATTTGGGGTAGCCCCGTTTTCGGAACCCCCGTGTGAAAATGGATGGTGAAGATGTTTTGAGCGATGACCAATGGGATGAACATGGGTAGTGGCCGTGTTTTGAAGTGATTATGATATGTTCTAACTAACAATCAACCTGGATTTACCCGCTGAGCATGAATATTGGAGTTGACCAACAATAGCGAAAATTGATACCATTTGGTAATTTAACATTGCTATTGAACATAGCCTATTTATATCTTATTTTAGTTGAGTTACCTAGTAAAAAATGTGATTTTCAATAGCTTTTGGTAGGTTTACCGGTAACCACAAGGGAAGTGTCTTCAGTTGCCACATGCCTGGCCCTTTTTTTAGATGCCAATGTTTGTCAATCGAAGTAGTGGAGCAAAACCACAAATATGAATGTTTTTTTGTTTAGTCAGAACTATATATCCATTATAGCCTAGCCACACTATATTAATCCCCATGGTTGACCATTCACCATGATTCACCATGAGAAAATCAGCATCTATATCTAATATTCATGTTTTTTTTGGTTAATCATTATGACATGTACTAACCATTATTTGCATTTATAACCATTCTAGCCATTATTAAACAACATCTGGTTGGTGGTTTGAAACATTGCTTTTGTTTTCCATAATATATTATATAGGGATAATCCTTCCCATTGACTTTCATATTTTTCAAGATGGTTAAACACCACCAACCAGTTTTTTGTTTGGTCAGAACTGATCATTAAAAATGATCAGCTGGTATTTGAATCATGTGAAATTTGCTCGTGAACTCCTCGAAATTTGCTCAGGACCAGCCTCAAAGTTCCTCATGACCAATGGTTAGTACCTCACATGATTTTGGGGTGCCACAATGTGATCAGTATCCACAGATGAAACCCCACATAACCCCACCAAAAGGATAGAGAAGCAAGAATTCAAACATTACCCATGCAACACTAAATCGTAATGGTAAATCCACATTTTCACATTTTTTGTGGGGCCGCTACGATGCACCATACACCGCCATACACGGTAAATGTCTGGCAGCCAACTCCGTTCAGGCTGTGATCGCCAGTAATCCTCTGAACCAGCAGGACGAGGCCTTTAAAAGCTTTGAATGGGACAGGTGGTTGCGGCATGGTAAACCCAATGCCATAAACCTATGACTCGGGATGGTTGAATTCGCAGCCATAAAAATGGTGATGACTTGGGGATGGTTTATGATGTTTATGGCATTGGGATGCATTGGGCTTACCACTTGAATATACAACCCCATCCCCTTCTGGTTGGTGGTTTCAAACATGTTTTCATTTTCCATAATGTATGGGATAATCCTTCCCATTGACTTTCATATTTTTCAGAGGGGTTGAAACCACCAACCAATTTAGCTGATGGACATCTATTGGCATATATCTTTGTTCAGGATGACCAGCACATGAAATCTCAGCCAGTAAAATCCCATCCCCCTATATCTTACACAGCTCCATTGTATCGTTGTATGGTCCCAAATAGGTGTAAATCCCCAACCAGAAACCATACTAAACCATGGTTTCGGGTTGGTGCTTAGTTACTAGTTGTTCTTTTGGGGGGCAGGATTGCTATGAAATTGTTGTGGTAGTTTTTATATAGAGCTATCAGATGATATGGTGGTTTTTAGGCGTGTAAATAAACAAACCCAACTATAAACCCGACAGAATGGAGATGTGACAAAAATTCAGCCAGAATAGCTCCCAGAATAGTAGTCTGTCTATGAATGTGTGTATAAACACAGAACATGTCAATGATCCATAATGATCCTTGGTTCTTCTCGACTTTCCTTCATTCTTAAAATTTGAAATCGGTGTAGTCCAGGATGATACTGATTGTTAATCATTTTTTGATGGCTCGTGATGATGTGCCTAGATTGGTTGGTTCATGTCGGTTGTGGCTATGTTGTGCACATACCAAGTAGCGACTGGTTTTGGTCGGAGGTTTTCCGACAGGGGTTGGATATCCGTTGGTCAGACATAGCTTCTGACAGGCGGTTCCCTGATGTCATCTGCTGCCAGATTGTGAAATGTGAGGAATCCACACAAGGTGGTGCCCCCCCCGTTATAAGTTGATTTATAATCACATTAACTATAGATATATCTACCATAAGTCCTAGTTATTAGGGTTATAAACCAACTTAGCTATCTTGGGGGGTACCGCCTTGTAGGAATCCATGCCCTCTAATAAGACTCTAATATCCAGAATCTCCATTGCGGATTAATCTGGATCGCTGGAGGCCCGAGAGTTAATGGAGAGGCTAGAAGCATGTACCTTGCTCAAGAGGCACTATGTGTTGCTTGGCAGCAACCCAAATTGGGGCAACCAGATTGGGGATTCCAGCGTTCCAGCAACGGGGCAAGTTGGCCGATATCAATGGATCACAAATATCGGTGTAAACTCACATAGACTAATGGAAAACCCATAAAACATCATAAAACATCATCTGATTGGTGGTTTGGAACATGTTTTATTTCCATGTATTGGGAATATCATCATCCCAACTGATGAACTCCATCATTTTTCAGAGGGGTCCAACCAGTCATAAAACATCCAAACATCCACCATTTAAAGATCGTTTCTGAATGGATAAGCGATTGATTTCTATAGCTGTGAACGTCAAGGATGACTGGAGGATATGGCTTGAAACCGAGGAGGTGCCCCCCATGAATATCATTATCAACATCAATCATTGTAAATGATGTATATGATGCATGTAGAATCATGTAGAATCATGTAGATAACCTGTATATGATTGTATAATATGAATCAACATCAATCAAGATACATATGCACCAGCTTGAACTTTGGGCCACGGTCTCCGACAAAGTTCCCTCAGGAGCACGGACGAGGATTGCTTGCTTCATGTTTGATAAAAATCATTTCTAATAATAGATAGTATCATGAGTCATGAGTAATAGATAAACATATAAAAATAGTTCTGTAGATAGTAAGTATCGCAATGCTCAATCAAAATCTTCATCTGACTTTTCAGTGGAGTTAAACGAAAACTTAGAAAAACCAGAGGAAACAAAACTCTATGTAACTGATATGTTTATTCCAGCGGTGTGGAAATCTACAGAGGTGGGCTTCTATGAGTATATTTATGTTGTGGTCTTCAATGGCAACGGGTTCAGCAAAGGAGGCTGCTGCGTCCTGCGAATCCCTGAAAGACAAATGACTGCAGCAATAAATTCAACAATCACATGCAATATATAAGCAAAAAAAATGAAAAAAACAAACAAAAACATTTTTGGGGGGGTTTTGCAGCTTTATTTTTTCATGCTATCATCAAGTTTGAGATGTTTTGAGATTTTTTGATATTTTTTGAGATTTTTTGAGCTTTTTTGAGATTTTTTGAGCTTTTTTGAGTTTTTTTGAGATTTTTTGTTAAACATAATTTATTTTTTTGCTATTTTTAAATTGTTTTTTTGAGATTTTTTGAGATTTTTTGAGATTTTTTTATTGTCATTTTGATTTCTTTCTTGTGATTGTTTCATGTTTTAATTACCCTTAAAAATGTGACTAATGTATCGCCATTGAAGACCACAACATAACTATATTCATAGAAGCCCGCCTCTGTAGATTTCCACACCGCTGGAATAGAAATATCAGTTACATAGAGTTTTGTTTCCTCTGGTGTTTCTGAGTTTTCGTTTAACTCCACTGAAAAGTCAGATGAAGATTTTGATTGAGCATTGCGATACTTACTATCTACAAAAATATTTTTATATGTTTATCTATTACTCATGACTCATCATACTATCTATTATTAGAAATGATGTTATCAAACATTAATATAAAAATAAATGATTGGAGTTGTAGCAGGAGTTGGAAGAATAGCAATGACTAATGCATTGAGACAGGTGGGAAGGCAGTTTGGGAGAGAGGTTGTTCAGAGAATTATGGGAGGTCAAGCAATAGAAAATGTATTAACAAGAGAAGAGATGAGATTACTCGCAAAAAGAATAGGTAGAGTAGCATTTGATGAATTAATGCGCCAAGGAAGAGAAGAGTTGATGAACGACACGGACAAGAAACAAAGAGACTTAGATGAGAAGATAAACAACTTTGCAAGAAATCTTAATGAGCAATTCAGACAAAATACAAGACTGTATAAAGAAGAAAGGAACATAGCCAACAAAAAAGCAACAGAAGACAGACACGGATTGACAAATGCATACAGAAGCCCATCCGGATGATATAAGACAGGCAAGACACTTTATTTATATATCAGGAACCGGTGGAAAAGATGGAAGTATAAACAGAGACATTTTAGATGATTTATTAAGGTTACCTACCAGAAATGCACACAACACCGAAAAGTATAAATATGTGATTAATCAACTCAAAAAATCACCAGAAATAACACGTTTGGTGGATTATGACAATGACCATGTGCATATGGTTTTAGACGATAAAAATCAAGTTTCTTTGTTTTTTTCATTTTTCCATTGTTTTTCATATTAAATCATGTTCCTTCGGTTTTGTTCGTTTTTATCATCTTACTGTTGGTTAGAGATTTGTTTCCGATCTAAACCCCTCCGATTCAGGGTACTTATTAAGGTTAGTGAGATCAGCTGGTTGTTACCTCGTTTTTGGTGGAACAAGGAAAACTTATTTGGAATTTAACGGGTTTTATATGTTGTGTATCTTATGTTTAAAACATACCGGTCACTATGAATCCAGATACTCCCCTGAGGAACTTAAGGCCTCATATTGCAGTCATACTTCCTCAAGTACGGCTGGATATGGCTGGATGCATGTCATGTTCATCCACTGCAGGTGGGGGTGGACAGCCTAAGGGCTGCGGATGAAGATTTGCTGCAGGGCAATCCTGGGGTTTTCGCCATCCGCCACATCAGTGCCTTTGGTTGTGCACCGGGATGCGAGAAGTGTTTTAAAAAAGGCCTGCACAATCCTGTGTTGTAAGTGTTATTTTCCCCTCCGGGGAGCGATGAGTCATAGTTAAGTTAAATGGTTGTCGAAGGAAGTTTAGAAGTGAAACTTCCGACAATATGGACAGTTGAAAAGCAGAGGTGAAAAGAGTCAGAAGAGAAAAGATCAGAAGAAAGAAGAGGTAGATGCGCGAAAAGATAGGAAAGTCGCGATTCACTGCGTTTTTCCAATGATTTGTGGCTCCGGAGGGTCGAAAAGTAGGCTCGCTAAAGCGGCGGGTGCGGAGCCGGCTGGCCAGATGAGACATGAAAAAGTGCACGCCGTTGTGGCGCGAAGCACATTTCCAAGTCAAAATGGCCAAAACACTAGAGGAGCGGACCACTTTTGGAAGTTGCGATGTCGGAAAAGTGCACGCCGTTGTGGCGCGAAGTACATTTCAAAGTGAAAATGTACAAAGCACACCATTCTCGCAGCACTTTTGGAAGTTGAGATGTCGAAAAACTGCACGCCGTTGTGGCGCGAAGCACATTTTGAAGTAAAAAGCGTTAAAAACTGACGGTCTCGGACCACTTTTGGAAGTTCCGATGTCGAAAAAGTGCACGCCGTTGTGGCGCGAAGCACATTTCCAAGTCAAAATGTACAAAACACACCATGTTCGGACCACTTTTGGAGGTTCAGATGTCGAAAAAGTGTCGAAAAAGTGCACGCCGTTGTGGCGCGAAGCACATTTCGAAGTCAAAAGTGTAAAACACTGAGGGTTTTGAGCCTTTTTTGACGTTAAGATGTCGAAAAAGTAGACACTGATTAAGTTAACTAACTTGACTAACTTAACTAACTTCACTAACTTAACTACCCTAACTTCGACGACAACAGGAACAGCAACAACAACAACAACACCAACCACAACAACTACAACTACAACAACTACAACTACAACTACACAACAACTACAACTACAACTACAACTAGAACTACAACAACTACAACAACAACAGCAACAACAACAACAACTACAACTACAACTACACAACAACTACAACTAGAACTACAACTACAACAACTACAGCTACAACAACAACTACAGCTACAACAACAACAACAACAACAACAACTACAACAACTACAACAACTACAACAACTACAACAACTACAACAACAACTACTACTACAACTACACTACACAACAACTACAACCACACAACAACTACAGCTACAACAACAACAACAACTACTACAACTACAACTACAACTACAACAACTATAACTACAACTACAAAACAACTACAGCTACAACTATACAACTGCAACTACACTACACTAATTACATTACACCACAACTACAACTCCACTACGCTACAACTACAACTACAGTTGCAGTACATCACACTACATCCAGCAGTTGTGGGTGAGGTGACCACTGCAACCATTTTGCAACCACCCCAGCAAACACAACTCCAACCACCTTTCGGTCAATCAGTGGATTCGCTCTGCCATCCGTGATTCACAACAACCAACGTCTCCTATAGGTTTCCTATTCTGAAACTTCCGCCACCGCCTTGTGCGGTACTACTGGTATAAGTGTACTATATAATCGTTGCAGAATTCTTTTTGATAACTGGATGCTTCTAAGCTGTGAAGAGACTGCCTGCGAGCCAGTTACAAGATGTTACAAGACTGGGATGATCTGGGATGTGCCCACCAGAGGATTTCATGGTTCAACCGGTTGGCAGTCTGTTTTCGCAAAGTGGCAGTTTGATGCAATTTGATTCAGCAAGGGGACATCAGCAACTTTAAAAAGTTGCTATTGCAAATTGCGGGTAAATCTTGGTAAATTCAATGCCGCCACACGCTTGGTGCATCCCAGTCGGTAATAGCCATAGCTACAGCCCAGACAGTTACCGTTCGGAACATCTCCGGTATTCCTTCCTGGGATTTTGCGGCCAAGGTATCAAAGCACGGCTCTTCTTGCTGTCCTTTCTGTTAGAGATGAGAAACTTGGCCAATGTTTGGGTCAAGCAGTGACCAAAAAAGAAACCGTTACCTGTGGAGAATGTTGATTCCTTATTGTGGGGAGGATGTTTATAGTGGGTTATAATACGAAACTTGGTTGAGCCGAGATTTTTATGACTCACTATTTATATATATTTATATTATTTATTTATTTATTTTTATTTATTTATTCATTTATTTATTTATTGTTTTTCTTTATTTTATATATTTATTTATTCATTTATTTATTTGTTGTTTTTTTATTTATTTATTTATGTATAGGAATTCTATCCGCCAAACAGTAAACAATGAAGAGGGCTCCCAACAGATCACTAGGGCCCGTGCATGGCATCAGAAATGACTGAATCAACATGAATCAACATCTTGTGAGTAGTTTCATGGGACCAATTAAGATAAGTTTAGCCGATAAATCTCGTGGTAACTTCATGGTGTCCCGTAGATGTTGGGACCCTGGCACCCATCCGGAGACCGCCAGGAGAGCGTCAGGCAGAGCAAGTACATGCCACGACACTTGGCTGCGCCATGCTGCGCCTGGTGGGTACGAGGAGTTCTTAACACTGAAAACGGCCTCATGAATGAGTTGTTTTTTCCCCACCTGCCAGGTGAGGGTTGTTAGATTTTATCAGAGTTGTTTTTCCTTCTCCTCCTCCTTCTTCTCCTCCTCCTCGTTCTCCTCCACCACCTCTGCCTCCACTTCCATGTCCACTTCCGCCTTGCCAACTCTTCGCCAACTTCCGCACGCAGCGGCCACTGCTGGACCTCAACTGCCAGGGTCTGAGCGCACTGGGCACCGCTGGACCTCAACCTGGGACCTTCCGAGCTCAGTGAGCACCGCTGGACCCCCACCTGGGACCCTCCGAGCTCAGTGAGCACGGCTGGACCTCAACCTGGGACCCTCCGAGCCAGAAGATATGCCAGATAGAATGCCAAAAGATATGCCAGATAGAATGCCAGAAGATATGCCAGATAGAATGCCAGATAAAGTGCCAGAAGGTATGCCAGATAAGGTGCCAGAATGTTTGCCAGATAGAATGCCAGATAGGATGTCAGAAGATATGCCAGATAGAATGCCAAATAGAATGCCAGAAGATATGCCAGATAGAATGTCAGAAGATTTGCCAGTAACAAAACGTATAAATGTCATGGTGGGGATCACACGAAGTAAAGTAATTTTGAGTCACCTTAAGGGTTGGGCGCTTGAAAGCAGCCGTCGATATAGACTAATGATAAATCTACGTGAAGCCTCGGAAGTCATACAATGATAGCTGACAAGTGGCCATGGCTAGAAGACTTTTTAAAGATACTGGGGGTGAACATCTTAGCAGACTATCATCGTTCTTTTCATTTAGGCAACGCGAAGAGTGCAAGGTGGTGCCCCCCTAGTTGTAAGTTGGCTCATAAATCATAAACCGCATTAACATGCAATAACTATCGATAAATCTACCATAAGCCATCGGTAACCTAGGCTTTTTACAGCAACTTAGCTATGCTGCTGCAGCACAAGCTGGTGCCATTCGAGGGCTGCTGAAAGGTCAGCCGAAAAAGATCATCAGTTTATGGTTTTGAAGCTCACCCAATTGAATTTAAGTGTTGTTGAATTTCAGCATCACGATGTATTTATTTATACATATATATATATATACACGTATATGTGTGTATATATGTATGTGTATATAGATAGATAGATAGATAGATAGATAGATAGATAGATAGATAGATAGATAGATAGATAGATAGATAGATAGATAGATAGATAGATATGCACAATTATTTGTGCCATGGATACCAGCCCCTCCATCCAACCAGCCACTGGTGAAAGCACTTCCAGGCACGTAACCCAGCGTTTCCTGAAGCTGTCCATGGCTTTGGCGCTGGCCCAACAGGCCCACCCACCTGGAAGTGGGTGAAAACGTCGCCAACATTACCTACTTCCTGGTGAGTTAAGCATGTGAAGGATTGACCAGGAATCCACCATCTCCCAAAATTCACCATTTTTATGGGTGGTAGAACTGTAGAGCCCATCAAAATACGGGCTGGAGTCCTAAGGTGGTACCCCAAGTCACCATGGGTTTCAATACTGAAACGGCCATCCATGACATGGATGATTTGGGGTAGCCCCGTTTTCGGAACCCCCGTGTGAAAATGGATGGTGAAGATGTTTTGAGCGATGACCAATGGGATGAACATGGGTAGTGGCCGTGTTTTGAAGTGATTATGATATGTTCTAACTAACAATCAACCTGGATTTACCCGCTGAGCATGAATATTGGAGTTGACCAACAATAGCGAAAATTGATACCATTTGGTAATTTAACATTGCTATTGAACATAGCCTATTTATATCTTATTTTAGTTGAGTTACCTAGTAAAAAATGTGATTTTCAATAGCTTTTGGTAGGTTTACCGGTAACCACAAGGGAAGTGTCTTCAGTTGCCACATGCCTGGCCCTTTTTTTAGATGCCAATGTTTGTCAATCGAAGTAGTGGAGCAAAACCACAAATATGAATGTTTTTTTGTTTAGTCAGAACTATATATCCATTATAGCCTAGCCACACTATATTAATCCCCATGGTTGACCATTCACCATGATTCACCATGAGAAAATCAGCATCTATATCTAATATTCATGTTTTTTTTGGTTAATCATTATGACATGTACTAACCATTATTTGCATTTATAACCATTCTAGCCATTATTAAACAACATCTGGTTGGTGGTTTGAAACATTGCTTTTGTTTTCCATAATATATTATATAGGGATAATCCTTCCCATTGACTTTCATATTTTTCAAGATGGTTAAACACCACCAACCAGTTTTTTGTTTGGTCAGAACTGATCATTAAAAATGATCAGCTGGTATTTGAATCATGTGAAATTTGCTCGTGAACTCCTCGAAATTTGCTCAGGACCAGCCTCAAAGTTCCTCATGACCAATGGTTAGTACCTCACATGATTTTGGGGTGCCACAATGTGATCAGTATCCACAGATGAAACCCCACATAACCCCACCAAAAGGATAGAGAAGCAAGAATTCAAACATTACCCATGCAACACTAAATCGTAATGGTAAATCCACATTTTCACATTTTTTGTGGGGCCGCTACGATGCACCATACACCGCCATACACGGTAAATGTCTGGCAGCCAACTCCGTTCAGGCTGTGATCGCCAGTAATCCTCTGAACCAGCAGGACGAGGCCTTTAAAAGCTTTGAATGGGACAGGTGGTTGCGGCATGGTAAACCCAATGCCATAAACCTATGACTCGGGATGGTTGAATTCGCAGCCATAAAAATGGTGATGACTTGGGGATGGTTTATGATGTTTATGGCATTGGGATGCATTGGGCTTACCACTTGAATATACAACCCCATCCCCTTCTGGTTGGTGGTTTCAAACATGTTTTCATTTTCCATAATGTATGGGATAATCCTTCCCATTGACTTTCATATTTTTCAGAGGGGTTGAAACCACCAACCAATTTAGCTGATGGACATCTATTGGCATATATCTTTGTTCAGGATGACCAGCACATGAAATCTCAGCCAGTAAAATCCCATCCCCCTATATCTTACACAGCTCCATTGTATCGTTGTATGGTCCCAAATAGGTGTAAATCCCCAACCAGAAACCATACTAAACCATGGTTTCGGGTTGGTGCTTAGTTACTAGTTGTTCTTTTGGGGGGCAGGATTGCTATGAAATTGTTGTGGTAGTTTTTATATAGAGCTATCAGATGATATGGTGGTTTTTAGGCGTGTAAATAAACAAACCCAACTATAAACCCGACAGAATGGAGATGTGACAAAAATTCAGCCAGAATAGCTCCCAGAATAGTAGTCTGTCTATGAATGTGTGTATAAACACAGAACATGTCAATGATCCATAATGATCCTTGGTTCTTCTCGACTTTCCTTCATTCTTAAAATTTGAAATCGGTGTAGTCCAGGATGATACTGATTGTTAATCATTTTTTGATGGCTCGTGATGATGTGCCTAGATTGGTTGGTTCATGTCGGTTGTGGCTATGTTGTGCACATACCAAGTAGCGACTGGTTTTGGTCGGAGGTTTTCCGACAGGGGTTGGATATCCGTTGGTCAGACATAGCTTCTGACAGGCGGTTCCCTGATGTCATCTGCTGCCAGATTGTGAAATGTGAGGAATCCACACAAGGTGGTGCCCCCCCCGTTATAAGTTGATTTATAATCACATTAACTATAGATATATCTACCATAAGTCCTAGTTATTAGGGTTATAAACCAACTTAGCTATCTTGGGGGGTACCGCCTTGTAGGAATCCATGCCCTCTAATAAGACTCTAATATCCAGAATCTCCATTGCGGATTAATCTGGATCGCTGGAGGCCCGAGAGTTAATGGAGAGGCTAGAAGCATGTACCTTGCTCAAGAGGCACTATGTGTTGCTTGGCAGCAACCCAAATTGGGGCAACCAGATTGGGGATTCCAGCGTTCCAGCAACGGGGCAAGTTGGCCGATATCAATGGATCACAAATATCGGTGTAAACTCACATAGACTAATGGAAAACCCATAAAACATCATAAAACATCATCTGATTGGTGGTTTGGAACATGTTTTATTTCCATGTATTGGGAATATCATCATCCCAACTGATGAACTCCATCATTTTTCAGAGGGGTCCAACCAGTCATAAAACATCCAAACATCCACCATTTAAAGATCGTTTCTGAATGGATAAGCGATTGATTTCTATAGCTGTGAACGTCAAGGATGACTGGAGGATATGGCTTGAAACCGAGGAGGTGCCCCCCATGAATATCATTATCAACATCAATCATTGTAAATGATGTATATGATGCATGTAGAATCATGTAGAATCATGTAGATAACCTGTATATGATTGTATAATATGAATCAACATCAATCAAGATACATATGCACCAGCTTGAACTTTGGGCCACGGTCTCCGACAAAGTTCCCTCAGGAGCACGGACGAGGATTGCTTGAAGCTTCGCCAGGCGCTTGGGCGAGTTGGAGCAGTTCCCAGCTGAAAAACAGGAGGTAAGTTAAATGTGGTTTATATGTTTATAGCCATCCTGAAGTAGAACATTTAAAAAAAAAATCAAACATCTTCCCATGTTTGTGAAGATTGTTTGAACATTCCATATTCTACTCCATCATGCTGAACAAAAATCCCTAGAGAACCAGCCGCGGTATGGAAATTTAGATATCACATAGTCCTTCATATCTAGATGTAGATGTAGATGTAGATGTAGAATGATGTAGATTCATATTGTAAGTACACACACACATATATATATATATATATATACATGCATCCTAGTATTAATAAATCAATGTTTTTTTGTCTTGTTTTTTTCTTGAAATATAAATTTCTCCCTTAGAAGTGGCCAAAAAAAATGTCCTGTACCAGGCCGGAACAACCCTATTCTGATGACTGTGCAACTTTTTCTCGGAAACTTGCTGGTCAGAGGAAGCCATTTCAGTGAAGTTTGTATCTAGAGTTGCAGCTGCATCAGCCTCTTTTTTGTTAGGCCAGCTACAATTGTTTAGGGATGTTTAGGGTGCCGGCCCAAGCCACAAACAAGGGTCAAACATGATGCAGCACGGTGATGTCAACCAAGAAACAACAGTCAATTCCACGATAACAGTTGCTGATTGTCAGGGTTTTCCTTAGTTGGCTTTAGTCATGCTTGCCCCATATCAAATATCACATCCTGAGATTCATGGATTAGAGGAAGTTTCTCCCATTGGAAATCTTCACATAAAACATAAACCCGACCTTCCAAGAATTCCCGAAAGGAATCAGGTTTTTTATTTGGAGTCAATCCCGGGTTTCAATTCCATTCGTATTCCAAGGGTACCACCCGTGATTCCACCAATCCCAGCAGCATTTTTTGCGGGAAAATCTCTTGGATTTTCCACGGGATTTTCCACGGAGTTTCCAGGATGATCCAGGATGGTATAGATGTTTTCCAGCCACGTCGGTTGGATCCACTTTTTGGCCCGTTCCGACACTCCAGGGACCCTTCCTATCACTGGCCAGCCTGGAATTGGACGATCTTTCTGTGGCGTTGTTGCGTTTTTGCTCGGGAAATTCAGCCGATTCAACTTTTAGAAACCTTGGAAATCAAGCAACTCGAGGCCTTGGGCATAGCCAACAAACATGGGATGTTATTGATGTAATCATAGAAACGGTTTGGTATGTTGCTTGTTTCATTGTTTTTTCTTACTCAGTTGGCAACCCAGAAATCAACAATCCAGATTCACTTAGAAAGTCTTTGAAAGAGGTTCAAAGGCACAAAACATTCCACGACCGGTGCGGGGTGGACCTTCACGAGATGTCAGGAGTTCAATTTGCAACGCTTGGTTTATACATGATGTTTGATGTAGCTCTAACATGGCTACTCTCTGCAAAAGGTGGAAACATATGCATGATACGTCCACTTTTTTGTGCTTCGTTCCTACTACTGCGCTGTTAGTGTTTGCCTGGGTTGACTCTGCAAAATTGGGTGCTCACAAGGAACATATGTTTCTTTGACTGTATCTGTTTATTCTATATACGCCCTGTTTCATGGTTTGGTTGCCTCTATTTGCTGATCATTGTATTGCATATCTTACGCTATTATGCTTGTCCATTTCGGGTTGTAGAGGTTATTTATGCTCACATCCAACGCTTGATTCAATGATATTCAATGCATACGTCGGTGATCACCACTTCTATCTCGGAATCATTTGGCCAGTGGTTTCAGGTATGTTTTAAGTTGTCCATCTCAGAACTATGAAATGCAAGACTAATTGAAATGCAATAATTCAGAATAATCAATTGATCTTTGTTCCAAATGATGGTTTTCCATCAGGTGGCACTTCATATCTCAGAGACTGAGCCATTTCTACTGGATCCTTGGCTGCCTGAGCTTCGAGACGAAGGGTTAGAATTGTTCTTTTCCATCCCAGAGACTCAACGGACTCGTTCGGTGCCATTTTGGGTTTTGCAGATGTCTGGCTCAACCATTGCAACTCAGGAGCTTCTGGCCAACCAATGAGAGCCCCAACTGGGGGATCCCTTTCTGGGACCTCCTGGGCAATGGGACATAATGGGACCATAGGTTGGGTGCTTCTCAGTAACAAACTTCCGATTTGGTTCGTTTGTGTGTGACAAAACTTCATGTTGGTGTTGATGAAGTGATTCGATTGTGTTTCTGACCTTTTTTTTTGGCAATGTTCACTTGCAAGCCATGTTTCCAATAGCATTGTTTTTTTTTTTGTGGGGGTGGGGGTTCGTTAGCCGCTGTAGACTTCATTTGATGCCTCCCAGTTGCCGCGTGATGTGCCAATGTCCGAGCAAATTGCTCAGTATGATGGACTGCTGCGCTGCCAGACGGATGCCAGATTCCTTCCGTAGGAAAATGCCATTTATGATATATTTACCCTCTGGCAAACGTTTACGTAACTATGAAAAATCACAATTTTATAGCTGGGAAAATTCCACTATTTCTATGGCCATTTTCAATAGCTTTTTGTATGTTTACCAGAGGGTATACATTGCAGCATGAGTGCTTATGCCACGAAAGCTGTAGAAATAGGGAACCATATGGAACCAGAAACAGGGGATCTAACCAGTCATCAGTCGGCATGAATGCAGTGTCGATCTTTTGTGGGATGTTCCCATGATGGTTAGTCGAGATATATGCCCATATATAATATATATGTATATATATATATATATGCGAGTTTAACATGAACTCTATTATCCCAAAGTACTCACATTCGGTACATCTGGGCTCAGGCCCCCCTGTTGCCAGAAACAAATAGGAAGGGCGCTGCCATTGCTACCTGCATGGTAGCGGAGCCCTGCTCAGTTCCGTGAGAACTGGGTGGGGCTCCCGCAAGAGCCGAGCGTGCGCGGGAGTGGATCCAGTGGTGTCTGTATCGGACACGTGAAGAGCCCAATCAGTACCGCATGACGGTCACCAAAGGTAAGGACAACATTCCTGGATGGGATGGAAACCCTGCGACATGGACTGAGTATCGCAAGTCAGCCCAGCTCTATGAGGAGACGGTTAAGTGGGAAAACCGTTACCTCTGTGGGCCCAGGTTGGCGGCTGAGCTCAGTGGAGCCGCGAAAGCAGCCATCAGTAGCAAGAAAAAGGGATGGCTGTCACATAGCAATGGAGTGGACAAGCTGTTGCGGTGCTTGCGCAGCAGCATGTCTGAACCAGCCCTTCCCGAGATTGCCAACCAGTTGAGAGCATACTTCAAAGTCCTTCGGCGCCGTCGAGGAGAGTCCATGGCTGCTTTCTGCGTGAGACATCGTGAGGAGTATGCCAAGACATGCAAGGCCTTGACTAGAGTCATGAAGGAGCGAAAGATGCCCAAGAAGAAGGACCACAAGACCAATTGGCATTCAGAACGTCGACTCTCCCGTTCCTCTGCACTGACCCTCACTGACTCCAGATCAGAGAGGTCAGGTAGACAGGGGGGCACAAGTGACCTGGCCTCCGAAGGCATCAGTGGTGACCAGGATCCCGCTGAAGCAGATGAGCCGCCAGAGGGAGATGCAGAAGAAGGAGAACGTTGGGATGATTATGATGACTGGTGGTATTGGACCACAGGCTGGATGGATCCCGCCTGGTACCAAGATGCTTGGTATCCTGGAGGAGTCCAGTACCAACCAGATGAGGATGATGAAGACCTGTCTGAAGATCCAGAAGAAGATGATGAGGACTTCGTGGAGATCCTACCGGATGTCATCAAAGGATGGCTGCTGTTGGAGAAGGCGAACATTGATCACCTTGAGCGATCACTGATCCAGTCTGAGGTGAAGAACGACTTTAGTCTCCAGGCTGTCGAGTCAGCCCTTCGCAGCCACTTCACCGATGACATGATCCGTCGGAAAGATGGAGACTCCAGGCATGCTCTCTATGGAGACGAGGAGATGGACCAGGAAGACGAGATCAACTTTGGCGATGAGGACGAGGCCTTCTTCGAGACATTGTCTGAAGAGGACATGGCCTTCTATCAGCAAGCCAAAGCTGATGCAGAGGCGGCCTGGATGCAAATCCAACAGGGTCGACAGACCTTGCGAGAAGCGAGGGCCAAACAACATGAGGTCAGAATGGGCCGCCGTTTCTTCAGCTCCAGCCATTTTGGCAAAGGAAAAGGCAAGTCCAATGATCGAGACCGCTTCCGCGGCAAGGGCAGCAATTTCACCAAGGGTGGTGGACCGTGCGCCCGCTGCGGCAAAAACCACGACACCAAGGATTGTCCCCAGAAATCTCAGAGCTCAGGTGGAGAGCAGAAAACCTTTGAAGCGGAAGAAGTGGAACACTCTGAGTTCATCTATGGCCAGACCTGGAGCAGCGAAGATCCCGTGTGCTTCTCTGGCACTCACATGAGCACTCAGGATGCTATGATGGCCGGCTATGGGGTCCTCGATGGAGGAGCCACCAAGACAATGGCGTCCATCAAGGCGCTGGAATGTCTGGAAGAGAAGTGCAAGGAGAAAGACCACCAAGGCATCAGCAAGGTGGACTTGAGTGAACAACCCACTTTTGGTTTTGGGAATAGCCATCGTGGCCGCTGCGTATCCACCTGCTACTTCAAGGTGCCCACCAAAGAGAAGTCCATGAGCCTGAAAATTCATGCGCTAGATCAGGGCAATGCCCCAGTTTTGATCTCCGTAGACACTTTGAGGCGTCTAGGTGCAATCGTTGATTTCAGGAATGATCAGGCGATTTTCAGTGATGTCAACCCCAAGAAATTGATTGCACTTCAGAGGTCCGTAGCCGGACACCAGCTGATACCATTAGCCGAAGATTTCATGTCCAAAGGAAAGCCCTTAGCCCAGGCAGTGCACAGCCTGGCTCAGCTGGTAGAATAGGAAACCGGACTCAGCTCAGGTGAGCCTGCGCCTGAGTGTGGGGATCAAATGATTTCAGGCCTGCCCGGTGTTACTGACATAGATTCACTCCAGCCTAAACAACAAGGTCATGAGGCTCAGGTACATGTCAAACACCAGCATAAAACGGTTTCCAACGGTAGGGTTCAAGACGTGGGAAGCATGAGCCATGTGGTTTCTCAACATATTCACATGATCACGCCGTCCCCGCAGCCGTTTGAAAGTTCCAAAAAGGTCAGCTTCACAACACCTAGGTCACTATCTCTTTCCAGTGATCATGGCGACCAACAAGGTGACCACTTGGGGCAACAACGCGATGAAACCACACTATCTCATGCTCAAGTCGGAGTGCTTAGCAGAGTTGGCAGCTTTTGGGCATCCAGTGACGAACCCCAAAGAGTTCACAGTGACCGAGTTGAAAGTCCTGGTCCGCGAGAACCGCATTGCGGTCGGACTCATCAGCGAGACCAAGGGTCAACAAGATGTGATGACCACCATCAACCATGCCAAGTTGGACCAGCTCAAGGAGATGTGCCTCGAGCGTGGCATTCCACTGTGGGAGAAAGCCCGTGTGGGAGACCTTCGTCTCCACCTCAAGCAGTGGATCATTCAGAACGGCACAGCCTCGACCACCTACCACTACGGGGGTCGTTGCAACGGAATGTCCTTCGAGGAGATTGCTCACACCTCACCGGACTACATCAAGTGGGCCATCGAGGAGGTGGACCGGAGCGAGAACCCAGGGTGGCAGCTTCGCCAGTTGGTGCATTGGGTGACCAGAATGGATGTCAAAGAGGAAGTGATCAACCAAGAGCATGCACAGATGCTGAGCGAGAAGTCCCTGGGAGAGATGAACCAGTTCGTGAACCGCACCAAGAAAATTCCAGTGGCAGAACCGAACAGCCCAGTGAAGAGCGCCAAGAGCAAGAGCTCTCAGGCGTCCAACGCTTCGGACATCAAGGAGATGAAAGAAACTCTGCAGCAATTGGTCAAGAACATGACCGAGATGCAAGAGGAGATGCGCGAGGCCCCTCGCAAGTCCCGCAGTGTGGCATCGACCGAGGGATATGTAAAAGTGGAGAATCAGAAGTGAGATCCCTGACCCATGCCAAAGCTCAGGCCCTTCATCAGTGTGGCAAATGTATCATACCTGACGCCTGGGAGGCGTTGATTTCAAATGGCCAAGATCAGAAACTTTTTCTGGTCGAGATTGCTTGTTCCCAAGACTCTGCACTGTCTGAAGAGGTTCAAAAACAAGGGCTGACTGCAGCCCGTCTCTCCATTTGGAATGACCATGATTTGTCAACAGGTGAAGGTGTCCGTAGGTGTGTCAAGTTCATTGAAAAACATAGACCTCGTTATGTTTGGATATCTACTGAGTGTGGTGCTTTTTCTCCCATGCAAAACTGTAATCAGAGAAACCCCGAACAAATCGAAACGTTGAAACGAAAACAGAATGAGGCTAGGAAACTGGGGGTCTCGTGATTGCAGATGCGGCACGTCATTTGGGTTGTGATGTGGTCTGGGAATGGAGCCGGCGATGCAGAGCTTGGAAATGGGAACCCATGGATAAGTGGCGCAATAGACATCAAACCCAAACTGCGATTATTGCGGGATGTCAGGTGAACCTCAAGAACCCCAAAACGCAGAAACTTTTGGGAAAGGAATGGAGACTGGAATGTACGAATCATCAGTTGGCGTCAGCTATTCATGCTCCATGTCAATGTGGTTCAGGGTACCAACATGCATCATGCGAAGGGTTGATGACGAGAACTACCGCTTTCTATACCCCCGAAATGGTTCGTAGAGTGGTTCGACATATGAAGTGTTTGGGTAACCCTGAAAATCTCAAATGTTGGTTTGGGGATGAGGGTCATGAACATGATATGTACCACACATCCAGAGGGTCCCAGCCGGTCAGCCACACACATGACACGGAACATGATCACGAACATGATGACATGGACACGAGACATCCACAAGAACTCAAACATGCTGCCAAGTGTGAGTGTCGCATGATCAAAAATTGGAATCGTGAACTTACTTGTTTCAATTGTATGAAAGACCAACATGGTGTGATTTTCATGACTGAGGAACAAAAACACAGACCCCTGACGCCAGAGGAGCGTCGCAAAGCGCAACGGGATATCTCTCTCATTCATGCTTCCACTGGTCATGGCAGTAAACACGTTTTGGTTCAAGCCCTTAAGAGTAAGAAGGTGCACCCTGAGGTTCTCGAACTTGCCAATCAGTTTCG